ATCATCATCAATGCCTTTTATCCCTGGAAGGGTATAGGCCACATACAAGCTCCTTCCATTTATCTCTGTCCTGAGCCATCCTTCCAAGTGAGCTTCATCTCTGTCATGTCCCTTTCCACGCATCTCCTCCATGTTTCCCGTGGCCTACCCCTGCTTCGTGTTCCTTGTGGGTTCCATTGCAGTGACTGTCTTGTGATGTTTCCGCTGGGCTTTCTGAAGGTGTGTCCTATCCATCGCCACTTTCTTTTTCCTATTTCTACTATCTTTTTGTCCTGTCCTTTCCCACAGCTCTTCATTTCTTATTCTATTCTGCCACTTAATTCTTAGGATACTCCTCATACATCTGTTGATGAAAGTCTGGACTTTATTCAGTACTGTCTTTGTTGTCTTCCAAGTTTCGCAGCCGTAGAGGAGCACAGACTTGACGGTGGAATTAAAGAGTCGAATCTTGGTGCACAATGAGATGTTGTTTGATTTCCAGACTTTTGATGATTGATTGAAAGCCGAGTCTTTGTGCTGTGACATTATATTCCTCTCAGCCCGGGTCGGCCTTGACAGGCTGAGTCAAAGCTCGCCTTCTATATTATATCTAAATAAATCGTGTTGATGGGTCGTACATTTACAAACCCAGAAACATCCCACAAAGAAAGACAAACTCCTGAAGGTACAGCACGTGAGAGATTGTTCACACCAGTGAAAATGTCAATGTTAAACAAACAAATAATTACTACGGTAAAGTAAGTTCTTATCGATGATCAAACTTGAGATGTGTTTTACATTTTGACTGTGGGGTGACTTATAATTGACTGACAAACAAACATGTAACACACCCGTCTGCATTTTTTTAACGGTCGACCTTTGATAAGATTTAACATTTTTAAAAAATCTGTTGTGGTAATGAGCACACGGGGGCAGAGTCAGAAGAAGCAAAGAGTTGTATTTGAAATCTGACAAACGAAGAGATTTACCCCTTTTGATTGAGGGTTGATATTGTCACTACGATGACTGTGGCATTCAGATCTTTTTGATTCTGTTCGGAATATTTACTTAGATAGTTAGAATAATGGCTGTAATAAAATGTCAGCCCCGGTGTTCAGTAGAACTAAAAGAACCTAAGTACTGGTACAATGATAGGGATAAATGACCGGTCTCATTGTATATAATTATACGACACAGATATTATAATTAGTAATACATTCTTGTTGTACAATTTGATGCTATAATCGTCCTCTTATTAAAAATAGCTGTTATAATGTTGACGTACATTGCAGGAACACAAAGACAGAAAGAAGTACAATTATAACTTTTGATGTCATTGATTAAGTCCTGGTTTCCTTTGTACTGAGGGGATAAATAAAAGTCTCGGCCTGAAATAGGGGAGGAGTCTAGCGCTAAAGTAACCCGGTGTCGATGTCCCACACGTCTCTCCCACCCAGAATGTCGATGTCACTTTTGTGGAGAAACAACTCAACTTGCTCTAGCGACCAGAAATTGAGCTTGCCAATGACAACACCATCACCTTCTGGTTCGTATTATGCAAAAATCTTAAGCGACCAGCAGTGGTACATCGTCCAAGTGGTCAATGTAGCGGCCATCTCTTGTCTCCTCAGTCTGTTCGGCGTGGCCACTAACATCATCAACATTGTGGTGTTTGCCAAGCAAGGCTTTCAGGACAGCATAAACATCAGCCTCATGGGTGAGATGGCAATTATCGCATGTACAGTAACACCACTAACAAATAACCAAATCTACAGTTCCTTGAGACTAATTTGTCTATCAAAGGGTCATGGAATAGAACATAACACACATACGTGAGGTGGATATAACAGACACAGTTTTGAAATATAGCACCTAGCACATTTACAAAACTGTACTATCATGAAGAAATGCGTTTGCTCTTAGCTCAGAAATCTTTTATTTTTCAGGAGATAGAAAAACAATTGTTACACCGCGATTTTCCCGAGTTATGAAGAATTCCGAGAATTCAAGAAGCCATACTGGTTTGGAACATAATAATATGACAGTGGGCGACTCAAATTGGGAATTCAAAAGAAAACCTTTTTGAGAATTTTATTTTTTAAGTGCATGTAAAAAAGAAAAAAAAAGATTAAAAGAAATATGATGAAACTGTGGTAAACCCTCCGGGGCGGTGCTACTGATTGAAGTGTCTTTAGGCCATTCCCAAAGGGAGGGGGGGGGGGCATAAACATCTCGAGTTCTTATGCATAGTAGAATTCTAATTGTAAATGGGCTGATTCATCAATTTAATGCTCATAACTGTGCATGAACTGCAATATGAAACTGCTGCTTTTTCCCCCTAATCCTTACTATCGTCATTTTCCTCTACTTCTTTTGTATGTTTGTCACTCTCTTGTGACCCGTTATTTCCGGAGTGCCTTGATAGCCGAAGCAGACTTTGTGCTGATGAAGCTAGAGAGGTGAGCAGAGTAAGTCTGATTCTCTGTAAGGACTTCTCTTTTGACATACACCCCTGGTGCTCATATGACCGTCTGCAGTTGCAAGCGCCGTAAAACGTCTACTAAAAAAGAAAAATTGCTGTTGTACAGTGGGTGCTTTCCATTTTTCAAATTCTAACGACAATTTCTCTCTGTGTCTCCTTAAATAAAACATCAATTTTAATGAACTAAGGGACAAAATACTCATTATAAATTATTTTTAAAAGTCCAACAAAAATGTAATGGCAGATACTTTACACCCTAATCGACATAATTTTGATCAGTTAGACGCCGGCCACTTCTGGGCTACCTGTTATTGCCAACAAGAACATTAATCAAAGCAGGGAACGTGGCTACAAGTTTGGGATCAAATATCCCAAAGCGGAAAAGACAGAAGACCGCATTTACTGAAGTAGCGTTGGGTCCTCATACCTTACCCAGCGCTTCCACGGGTCGTGGATGGGGGAGAGGCCTTCAGAAACGGAGATAAGCTGCTAAGCAGACGCGCACCAAATGTGAGATGGTCGTGGAGAGTAGAGGAGAACCCTGGTGGCACAGGTGCTTTAGAAAATACTCTGTACACTCGAAGAATGGACCATCTTGGCGATATCATTCTATCTATGCCAGCGATGAGATTCTAAACGATATCCATGATTAAGTTAGTTTTCATAGCTTTACCTATAACACCACGTGCAACTGAATGTAAGATGCATAGATTAATAAGCCTTGGGAATCATTTTGCAAAAATCTTGCTGTGAGTAATAATGGGAAGAATGAGAAGAAGTCTAAGACCAGAGTAAACTAAAACCCAATTCATCTTTGATCCTGTCAAGGGGACAGGAGTTTTATATTCACCTTTTTTAATAGAAAAATTTATTGAATTATGGTAAAACCTTTATTTATGTTTACCAGATTAGTCAAAGGTTTTCGATTAATCAAGACATGGTAGCTTATTCAGAATATTGGTAAAGCTAGACCAAGATTTAAAAAAAGTAAGAATTATTAGAAATGTTTACTTGGACCAAAAGGCTGTTGTATTGAGGGAGAGTACAGTGAATATAAGCAGATTAGAAGAGGAGTGAGGCAAGGATATGTTGTGTCAGCTGAACTATTTTACAGGTACCCGTGAAACGATCCTCAGAAGTATAGAAGAATGCCTAGGTCTCAAATTGAATGGCAAAATAATTAATAGCATTAGATATACCGATGGCAAAATTTTAGTAGCAGATTCAGATGAAAGACTTTCAATTTGTATAGATATTGTTGAAGCGGAAGGCAAAGATAAATGTGAGGCAGCGCGATGGAATCAGACTCTCGTCAATTTTTGACATGTAGAGTTATTGGTATCATCTTAAAGCTTGTTCACTTGTCTTTATTTGGATGGAAAAAGTATCCATTTATCGTAAATACATATCGAGATATTTGCAAATGAAGGAGGTGGGGGTCACCTGTTTTCAGATGTAAAATTAGTGAGAAAATGGCCGCAAAAGATTAGTCATTTCCTTAGCTTAAGAGTCCGTGGTAACTGAAAATTTACATTTTTTGTGCCTTTAATCAACATTTTTTCAGAAAAATCCACACGGAAATGAGTTCTTTAATGGGCATGAAAGGTGTTGAGCCAAAAAACAAAAATTTGAGAAAGTTTCACAATTCCACAGAAAAAGCAAGTTTCTCCACTTTGATTATTTTGACGAGAGCCTGATTCCACCACGCTGCCTCCCAAATGGTTATTGTGGAACGTGGATAAAACAGAATGCATGGTAAAATGTAAAAAGCAGTTAATCCTACTTGTAATCGTATGAGCTAAAGCAAAAAGATCAAACAAGTTCAACAGTTTAAATATCTAGGATATATAATTACTTTACATGATACCAAATGTTCCACAGAAATGAAAAAGAAGATTAAGGAAAGCTACAGATAGTTTCTATTAAATAAGCCCAATCCTGGGAAGAAAAAAAAAATTCAATGAACACAAAAATGAAAATTATGGAATACTGTGTATGCCCAACCGTTCTACATGGCTGTGAATGCTGGACAATCACTAAAGACAGTGAAAATGAAATAAAAGCGACAGAACTGTGGTTTCTTAGGAGACTGCTGAGAATTTCTTCGAAAGAAAAGAAGTCAAATGCGGCATTTTTTTAAGAATGGTGCCCACGTGGGCTGTTCGCTGTTTAAAAAAACAATCAAGAAAGGACAAATGCCGTTTCATGGACACTTAACTGGACATAAAGGTCTTGAACATCTAACTCTCACTCGCAAAATTGAAGGCAAACGAGACAGGGGTAGACCCAGAGCAACTTATGATTAATTGTATCTTTTTTGAAAGCATCAGAGTAAAAGAAGGAATAGAGAATCATGTTGCAGATCTGGCACTTGATGATGATGGTGATGATGATTTACTGAAGAAGAATTAAAATAAAATGTATTTCTTTCACTTTAGCTTAGTTTAATTCTTTTCATGTCAGAGGATGTCCACAATATTGTGTCACCCAACCTGCAAGGGAGAGAGAGAGAGAGAGAGAGAGAGAGAGAGAGAGAGAGAGAGAGGCCTCATGATTGAATTTTGCCTTTTTCCATCTCTTAAAATGCTCATCATTTCAGGGCTCGCTGTGTCTGACCAGTGCTCCTTGCTGACCATGATATGGCTAAGCATCTGCCTCAACCCGCTCTTTTATCACAATGAGCTGCCCTTTGACCCCAGAGATATCATGCACGTCACAGCGGGTATGCCCCATATAATCTTTGTCAAAATCGCCACTTTTGTCACCGCCTTCATCACTTTCGAACGATGTCTGTGTATCGTTGTCCCTCTGAAGGTGAAGACGATCATAACACCGAGAAGGACAAAGATAATTATCATCTCCATCTACGTTGTCATAGCTGTTTTGATGACCCCCCTCTTTCTTGGCAACAGACTTGAGTGGGTTTTCGATTTCACCAGGAATGTTACTATCCTAAAAACCACGTTCACGGCCGAGAGAGACATGTTAGACGCCATTACATTTCTGATCCCGGGTGTATTTGCTACGACGTCTTCTTTCATCTTCGTCATCTGCTGTACAATCATTCTTACCGTCAAACTCAACAGTAAAACAAAATGGCGACAGGTCACTGCAGCCAAGTCTGCTCGTCCAGCGGAAGGAGTTGGGGTCAAAGATCAAAAGGTTGTGAAAATGGTGACCTTCATCGCTGTCATTTTCATTGTCTGCACCCTTCCTTCCACGCTGTTGTTTCTCTACATGATGATTGACCCAAGCTTTCGTATTGATGATCGTGTCTATCGAAACCTGTATCGTGCCCTTTGGTCTTCATCATACCTAATCGAAACTATCAACTCTAGTGTGAATATATTTGTGTATCTGAAAATGAGTTCGAAATATCGAGCAGTGTTTATGGAAACATTTTGGAACAAGAAGGAAAAATAACTTTTGGGATGCTTAACGGGAGATGTACATGATATGGGAAAACTTCTAGGGGTTTGACTTTCTTTCAATTTATAAAGGTGATATAGGTTGATTATCGACTAATTAGGAGAATTCGGACGGAATTTTAAAAGTTTTTTTTTTTAAGTTGGTCTCCGTGGAGGCCATCTTTGATTTTTTGCCATGCTGCGGGGACAGACGTTTTTCCACAGAAAATACTGGAATATAAGCCTCAAACCTGGCACACAAATACATAAACCTATTATCTGTGATCTGATGCTAAGATTGTTTTCCTATGACGAAAAACAACAAAAATATTTATATATCACCGGGCGACTTCCGAAAAAAGGGGAAAAGTAACACAAAATCGAGAATATTTTAAAATGTGATCAATATTTCGCAAAATACTGACATCGAATCACAAAACAGACTATACAGCACATGTGTGCGAAATTTCAAGTTTGTAGCTCAGTTAGTATTTTAAAAACGTCTGTCCCCGCATAGTCACTTTAGCGAAAACGTAGTTTTTGAGAAAAACGCAAAAGAAAAACACCACCGATTTGACAACGTCAAAGTTCGAAAACCATAGATTTTAAAACAATAAATTTGATATTTTTAAAACGTTAGCCCCTCTCTGATATATTAAATGGAATTAATAAGGTTATATGTTCATTTCCCCCTGAAGTAAGCATTCAATGACAGATGAACATGACCATCTTCACTAATTTTTAGTTAGTTACTACCCTTGAGCAGTCACGTACAAATCAGAACAATTGTTTAGTAACACGCTCCTAGATTACATCAACACACACATGCACACACACACACACACACACACACACACACACACACCAACAATCAATCAAACAAACAAACAAACAAACAAACACACTTACACACATACGCACTCACACACTGAGTGTGGGTGAGTGAGTGCGCGTGCATGCGCG